GAAGGCAGCGCCCCAACGACCACCCACCCTGCGGGTTCACCGAGGCGCCCCATTTACGCTAGGCAAAAGCCCACCCCGACCGCCTAGAGGGTGGAAGCCAGATATCCGACCCCAAGGCCTGGGCCGCCTCTCGGGAAATCCACCTGGGATAACCTCCCCCGCCGAAAAAGCTCCGAGATTTAAACAAAACCCGTCTATTTGCATACCCTCGCTTTGCATGCATTTGTCTTTGGTCTGAAGGGAGCAACCCTGGACAGCAAGGCGAAACCACGACAATTCACTGAGGACTAGGGGCAAGGGAGGGCAACTCAAAGCTATGTCTCATTTGGTAAACTGAGGCCCAGATGAAAGGTTCTAAAACCGGCAGCTTTTTTTCTTTCTTAATTGATTTGAGAGAGAGTGAAACATCAGGTTGTTGTTCCACTTATTTTTGCATTCATTAGTTGGTTCTTGCCTGTGCCCTGACCAGAGCTGGAACCTGCAACCGTGGTGTATTCGGATGAGGCTCTAACCAACTGAACCACCAGAGCAGGGCAAAGGGGCAGCTCTTGATAGCAATCCTCCACACCCCGTCCCTCAAGGCCCCCAGAGAAGCTGTGTTCCTGCCTCTCTGACCCCCTATAAAAAAATGCCAGGGCTCCCTTTCTGAGCCAGGTGAAGCCACAGACATGAAAGCAAGAACAGAACCCACACAGTCCAGAGGAGTCCGTGGGCATCACCTGGTTTGCATCTGTGCCTTCACCCAGCCCAGTTCCTGAATAAGACTGTGGGCCAGAAGGCAAGACAAACAGCCTGGTTCCAACACCTGGGTTCCAATCCCATCCTTCTCTATAACCTCTGACCTGGTCAGAGGGCAAGGCTTAGCCATGGTGGGCACAGGACTGTCTGGCCAGCATGTTACTCCGGGTGGCTCACCTGGCTGTCCTGCAGTTTTCCCTTTCCTGCTCCTGTGTGCAGGTTTTGTTCCCTCTGCTTAGTATGCATGACATGACCCCTCCCCTTTGTTCACCAGGCAGAGTCCTATTCCTCTCCCGGAAGCCTCCCCTGAGGCCTGCCCCTATTTCAATATATAACTTGTCATCCTCATGTGTTGAGTAGTACTGTCCTTGAGAACCAGGGCTGGGGCCTGTCTCCATCCTGTGTCCCCACACCCAGCACAGGGCACAGAATTTGCCAAACTGAACCCCTACAGATCAGCTACGAGGCCAGCAGAGCAATGATTGGTGGGAAGCAGCAGTACCCGTTTTTTCTTCATACCATTCCCATTGATAAGCACCAGGTGGAGATCATGGTGTTGCTGCTACAGAGGTTAAGGTGGGTCTATATCTTGCTGGTGGGCAGTTACAGTGACTACAGATAGCTGGGAGGGCAGGTGCTGGAGGACCAGGCCACCAGAAGGACATTTGCATCACCCTTCAAGGACATCCCTGCCCTCCTCTGCCCAGTCAGGCAATCAGAGGATGCAGAGCATGATCCTCTGCCAGGCCTGAGTAAGGACCACTGTCATAGTCATTTTCTCCAGTAGGCAGCTGGCCAGAGTGTTCTCTAAGTCAGTGGTCCTGGCCANTCTGGCCACCCTGACTGCCAGTAGGCAGCTGGCCAGAGTGTTCTCTAAGTCAGTGGTCCTGGCCACCCTGGATCGCCTCAGAAAACTGGGCCATCTCCACACACATCAGCAGCATGCCTGGGATCAGGGGCACCAGTGCGGTATTGCATGTGGCCATCCAGCAGAGGCTTGACCCTGGCCTGAAGAAGTTTGAAAAGGCCTATGTCCTGGCAGACAAGAGGGCCCACAGAGTGCTGGGTTTTCATGGCACAGAAGATGCTCAGCTCTGAGCGTTCTCTATGACCTCCACTTACAACGTATGTCTATGCAGTGGCCCATGCCCTCCACCAGCTCCTGGGCTGCGTCTCTGGAGCCTGTCCCAAAGGCAGAGTATATCCCTGCAGGTAAGGCTGCCCAGCCTCTGGTACCCCCATATCAGGGTGCTTTCTTGGGGGAAGCAGGATGGCCACTCCTTAGCCAGCCTAAGTGTTGGGGGTGGCGGACAAAGGCCACCAACTAGAGGGCTGATCCCTTCTCTTAGCCTTTTTAGCCTTGAAACCAGGGCTAAAAACCCCTGTAAAGGGGTCCCTTTTAGGGGCCTCTTCTCAGTCAGGAGGCTGTTTGGAAGGGTGATGAGGCCTTCTGGGAGAGATGGTGGCTGTCAGAAAGGGATCAGAACTTCCAGACAGGCTGAAATTGCACAGACACAAGCCCAACAAGGCCCCAGGCACTTGTTTTCAGAGCAGTCTGGGTCTGGGAGGGTCAAAGAGGGTCAAGGAGGAACAGCCTGTGTCATCTATGGTTGCTCCACCATCCCTTCCTATTTCAGTTTCTGGAACAGATCTGCAAGGTGAATTTCCTTCTACACAGGACACTATAACATTTAACCACAGTGGGGACCCCCTCAGCAACTATAACATAATTACCTGGGACTGGAGTGGCCCCAAGTGTACCTTCAGGGTCATAGACTCCTCCACGTGGTCTCCAGTTTGTCTGGACATAAATAAGACCAAAACCCAGTGGCACAAAAAGGGTAGCCAGGTAATGGGGATGTGTCACTCACCAGTGATTGCCTTAGGGGCAACCTGGAGCCTGAGGGCCATGCTGACACCTCACACAAGCAGGAGGGGCTCCCATGTACCACATCTCCATGGTTCTACCCAGCCCGGCCAGGGAAGCTCCACAGGCTACCAGAAAGATGCCCAGTTGCCACTGGTTCACACAATCGGGCTCTACCCTGGGAGTGAGCCAGGAGGGCAGATGCACAGATTCTGTTTTCCATTCTACGTGTGAGTGTCCCTTGAGTTGGGCTTTTCCGTGCAGCTACAGAACACCTGTGGCTTCTTGCAGATGCCTATGTCTGTGTGCTCTAGTGACTGTCTTGAAAGGCACCATCAAGCAACTGGGTTTCCACACTGTTGCTTTGAGTGTGTGCCCTGTGAAGCCGGGACCTTCCTCAACAAGAGTGGTGAGAGACCAAGCGAACGACCTGGCACTCCTAGGGTCTGTATAGCAGGTGAAAGGATCTCTCTGGGGCTACACATGTACACAACTGACCCCAGAACCAGGGCCCGTCACTTAGCTGCCAGATAGGTACAGGTTGGAGGATATCTACTACCAGACATTTCTGATGAAGCAGAAAGAAACAACCAGTTGAAAGCCTCAGCCCAACTTTGTCCTTTATTAGACAGCTCCCAGCTCAACTCCTACAGATGCAATCTTATCCTAAATTTAACTTCTTAATCCAAATGGATATAGTTATGTTCTCATTGTACCTTTCCATGCTATCCCTCTATTGTCCATGCCAAAGACAGATAGTACCTTGAACAACTTGGCCCAAATGCAGGTACTAGCAAGTCTGCAGCAGAAAAAAAGAGCATACTCCACCCAGAGGTGTAAGGTCAAGATCAGAAAGTAAACTGAGGTAGCTAGGGTGCAGCTCAGAGCTGGATTCCAGGGGCCACATTCTTTCCTTTTACTATCCCTGTGGGAGTGGGAATCATCTCTCCTGTCCTCAGTGATTCAACTCAGAGAAAACACAGAGCTGCAGCTCAAGAAGGTGAATTTGTTTAGTGCAAGTGCTGGACAGAGAGATGCAAATACCTTTTTGTTTGTTTGTTTATAATCCTCACCCGAGGATATTTTTTCCATTGCTTTTCAGAGAGAGTGGAAGAGAGAGAGAGGGAAACATCAATGTGAGACACATCCATTGGTTGTCTCCCGTTCGAACCCTGACTGGGGCTGGGATATCCAGCCTGCAACCGAGGTACGTACCCTTGACCAGAATCAAACCTGAGACCCTTCAGTCTGAGGGCTGACGCTCTAACCACTAAGCAAAACTGGCTAGGGCACAAATGTCTTTTCTTTGGGGCTGGCTGCTCCCATTGATCACAGCCTCACTGGCATGTGGGTCGAGCTACCAGGGTAAGGCCCTCCCTAGGGACTTCTTGGCACCTCATTCTTAACTTGGGAAATGTAGGCACACAGAAGAGTCCAGTCCCAACTCCAATAAAGAGGTGACATGTGCCTTGGCCGGGTGGCTCAGTTGGTTGGATTGTCCTCCAGGGGACCAAAAGTTTGCAGTTGGATCCCTCCTACAGGAGGCAACAGATCTATGCTTCCCTCTCACATGGATGTTTCTCTGTCTCTTTAAATAAAAATCAGTAAGTATACCTTCTGGTGAGGATTAAAAAAAGAAAAAGGTGATATGTGTGTCTTGGTTGCGCTTCCAGTCTGGGCGAGAGCGGGGCCTTACCTTTCCAAGCTAGAGGCAGTCGAAAACCTGGAGGACTTGCCCTGGCCCCGCCCCCTTCCTTTTCACATCCCATTGGCCGTTTTCTTCGTGGCCCCGCCCCAAGTGCTGGCGCTAAAGCCCTGCGCCGTGGAGGTGTATCCCGCCCCTCTCCCCGGCTGGCGCGCCCTGACGTCACGTCCGGCGGCGGAGACCGCGGCGCCTCCGTAGGGTTCCCTGAGCTTGTAAGGCCCGGGCAGTTGGCGGGTGGGGTCGTGGAGTGGATGCGTCTGAAACCGGTGGGGCCGGAGCAGGGAGGACCGGCCAGGTGAGGAGGTCGGGGTGCGGGGCGAGAGAGGGAAGGGCTGCGGGCCGTTGTGAGCGCTGACGGAGTGTGACCGCAGCCGCCTTACGTCCGGCCGCTCGGGACGTGGGGGAGCGGCGTGGGCTTTGCTCACCTGTCTGCAGCCGCCGCCCTCTCCTGTCACGGATCCTCTCGCTGTGCCAGGCCGATCAGTTCGTGCTGATCCGCTGCCTTTTCAAACTTTAATTCTTTCTATCAGCGCCCCATGACGACCCTGCCCTGTCTCCCACCGAGCCATACCTCCTTCCCACACCTAGTCCCCTTGCACCCCCGCCACCCACTCTCTAGCCAACCCTAATATGGGCTGCTCACCTGACCCCCGTCCCCAGGGAGGCTTTCAGACTGTTCCTGTCTCAGCATGCACACTCTAATCTTGATCTGAGCCCTCGTTGTTGTAAATGTTACTGTTTGAGTAGAGGCCACCTCCCCTCTCCCTCTTCTCAAATCCAAGGGTTTTCTCTTTTACGCCAGGGTTGGGTTGGCCAGGGTGTCACTTCTGCCTTCCTCCCCTCCAGACAGACCATGGACGGTTCCTTCATTCAGCATAGTGTGAGGGTTCTGCAGGAGCTCAACAAGCAGCGGGAGAAGGGCCAGTACTGTGACGCCACCTTGGATGTGGGAGGCTTGGTGTTCAAGGCTCACTGGAGTGTCCTTGCCTGCTGCAGCCACTTCTTCCAGAGCCTCTATGGGGACGGCTCAGGGGGCAGTGTTGTCCTCCCTGCTGGCTTCGCTGAGATTTTTGGCCTCTTACTGGACTTTTTCTATACTGGTCACCTCGCCCTCACATCAGGGAACCGGGATCAGGTTCTCCTGGCAGCCAGGGAGCTTCGAGTGCCAGAGGCTGTGGAACTGTGCCAGAGCTTCAAGCCTAAAACCTCGGTGGGACAGGCACCAAGTGGCCAGAGTGGGCTAGGGAAACCTGCCCCCCAGGATGTGAACAGCCACCTCAAGGAGCTGGCAAGCTTGGAGGAAGAGGAAGTTTCAAGGACCGTGGGTCACGTCCCCAGGGATCAGGAGCTCAGCGGCAGTAGCAGCCCTCAGATGCCCCAGCTTGGTCTTCCTGCTCAGATTGAGAGCCCCTCCTTCCTTCGTGGGAAACTCAAGCAGGCCCTGAAGCTTTGTCCCTCTGAGGACAAGGAGCCTGAGGATTACAAAGTGCCCCCAAGGCCCTTCGAGGCCGAAGGTGCCCAGCTGCAGGGCAGCAGTAATGAGGTACTGTGCCCAGGGTTCTGGAAAGGGGAGGTGGGTGTAGGGGGAAGAGACTGACACTTTTCTGGCATAAGCTGGACCCCAAGGTTAGAATCTGTTATGTGGGTTTGAAATAGGCTTTGACCAAACATAGGAAGTTGGCTTTGTCTTGCAGCCTCAGGCTGACTTTTTTACAAGTCTCAGCTGTCTGTGGTTGCCAGCTTCTTGGGGTGGAATGGGTGGCGTCAGGGTTACAGATGTTTCCCCAGGGTCGTGAAATCCAGCCAAACTTCTAGTTCCCCACAAATAGAGCCCCTGCCCTCTAAATGCAAGATTCTGATGCTGTCTGCCCTGGGATCCTGAAGGGAACAGTCACAGAAAGAGGGACTCATCTGGGGATGTGCCTGGGTTGGACCTTGGGATGGAACTGAATGGAGCTGGCTGCTCTGTACATTCACCCCAGAAGCCCTGCTAATTAATTTGGTGACTGCGCCCCTCCTCCTGCCTCTAGTGGGAAGTGGTGGTTCAAGTTGAGGACGACGGGGATGGCGACTGTGTTTCTGAGACGGAGACTGTGCTGACCAGGAGGAAATCAAACGTACTCAGAAAGCCCTGTGCTGCTGATCCAGCCCTGAGCGCAGGTGCCCTACCAGCCGAGCCCTGTGAGAACAGAAAAGGTACAGCGGTGCCGGTTGAATGCCCCACATGTCATAAAAAGTTCCTCAGCAAATATTATCTAAAAGTCCACAACAGGTAAACATTCTGTTTTTCTATTTGCTTTTCCTGTCTGCCATTCCCATGTTGGGGGAGGGGACCTGCGCTCCCCACTTCTGGGCATGTAGTCCAGGGGCTCCATCTCAGACCCACATAGTTCCTGGTGTGGGCACGCCTCTGATCATCAGGGAGTGAGAACCTAGCCTTGGGTCAGATTCCTTCGTCCCCTTCAACTGTGGGCCCTCTGGTTGGAGTGGGTTTATGGACATCTTGTCAACAGGTTCTGCCCACTGTGAACTTTGATCTCCAGCTGGCTTGTGCCAAGGGGATGAGAGAACCCTGTGGCCCTGTGTTGTGGCTGAGGACCCACCTTAGATACTTCTGAAGCCTCACAGTGTGGGCTTTGGGCCAAGATGTTAACCTTTAGAGTTGGTGCTGCCTGCATTTCTGGGGAAATGTTAGCCCCAGGATGTCAGTAGAGCATAAAAGACCATTTGTCTAAAGCTGTAGTGTTTAATAAGGAAACCAAATGCCACAAGAAGCTGTTGTAACTTAAAGTAAAAGTAATTACAATGAAATAAATTCAGTCCCTCAGACATACTAGCCACATGTCCTTGGCTGCCAAATTGTATTGCACAGGCATAGAACATTTCCATCACTGCAGGGTGCTGCGCCAGATTCTCTGCAAGGCCTCCAGGGATGGCAACTAGGTGACATGCCTTTCAGTCCTTCCACTCCCTAGCTCAGGACATCACTGGTCCACCATAGTGCAGTTTCTTGCCAGGTTGGGGCCACATGCATTTTCTCAGTATGACACGCTGGGAAGTGACTGGTCACTGACTGGAGTTGGAGCAGGGAGGAGGGGAATCTGTTTACACCCTCTGCTTTGGGGCAGCTGCTGCCAGTGGATTCTTTGGGAAAGTCCCAGTGTGGGAGGCACCCTGGGGTGATCCACATCTCCTTGTGACTCCCCAGTGTAAGACTCCAGTGTCAGCACTGCCCCATCCCCACCTTGGGCTGCAGGCTGCTAGACTGGCCCTAAGAACTGGGAGGGGGTGATGGCCACCTGAGGTAATTGGGATGGGGGACAAGGACAGAGGATGAGAGAAGCATCTGGCCACTGGCAGGCTGTAAGAGCTCTGGGTGCCACTAATAGGTTCCAAGATCAGGATTCTTTTTGTTCATTCACTTAACAGCTGTCTGCCAATAGCTGACAAGACTGTTCTGGCCCTTGGGATACCTTAGTGAACAAAACAAAGAGCCCTTGGACTTTGCCTTCCAGTGTGGCAGTGCAGACTGCCACCCACCAGACAGTCACTTTACAGCAGGTGGAAGGTGGGAGGTACCACAGAGAAAAACAACAGCAGGACCAAGGTCTGGGGAGTTCAGGGAAAGGTCAGGTTGTAGTTTTATTTTTTTATTTACTTTTTTGTTGTTGTTAATCCTCACCCAAGGATATTTTTTCCATTGATTTTTAGAAAGGGAGGGAGGGAGAGGGAGAGAGAAAAAAACATCAATGTGAGAGACACATTAATTGGTTGCCTCCCGCGCGCAGGGCTGGAGATCGAACCTGAACCCAGGTACATGCCCTTGATGGGGATTCAAACATGAGACCCTTCAGTGTGAGGGCCAACACTAACCACTGAGCCATGCTGGCCAGGGCAGGGCAGGGCAGATTGTAGTTTTAAAGAAAGATTTGAACAGACTCCAAGCAGGTGAGGAAGTTCACCAAGTGGATAGCTGGGGAGAGTGTTCGGGTGGAGAGAAGAGCCAGAGCAAGGGCTCTGGGGTGGGGATGAGCCCGTGGGTTGGCAAACCCTAAGGTGGGAGACCTGGGGAGTGAGGCCAGCAAGGTAGGGAGCATGACAGCTATACCTCTACCCTCCCCAGACCCCCAGGCTTTTTCTCAGGTGGAAATACAAGGCATTGGAAGGTTCTGAGCAAAGTGGTGATGAGATCTCACTACTTATGGGTTCCTCTGACTACTGAAGTTTAAAGCTATCAGGAGGCAGGTGTGGGGTAAAGACAGGAGGCTCAAGTAGCAGCCCAGGGGCTGGTGTGGCTGCACTAGAGGGTAGCTGGAGGTGAAGCGAAATGATCAGCTCTGGCCACAGTTTTGAAGGTGGAGCCCACAGAAGTTCCAGGCAGATTGAATGGTTTCTCCAGTGAGTCTGGACCCCAGGGATTGTTTCTGCCTTCGAAGAGATGGGCAGAGTTCCGTGGCGGCCTCTGGGGCTGGAGCTGGGGGGAGGAGGGTTTCTGGTCATTGGGTCCCCTCCCCATCCCCTGCAGGTTCACCAGCCATGTGGTGAGCCACTGGGAGCTACAGGGGGCACTGTGAGGGTGATGCAGGAAGTTGCTCAGCCCCCACACCCCCTGTGGCTTCTTGTGGCAGGAAACACACTGGGGAGAAGCCCTTCGAGTGCCCCAAATGTGGAAAGTGTTACTTTCGGAAGGAGAACCTCCTGGAACATGAAGCCCGGAATTGTATGAACCGTTCAGAACAGGTACTTGTGGGCTGGCTCAGGTCCTTGTGGGCAGGGGCATGTAAGCTTTTTTGTTCCCGCCATCAGAAGGGGCCCCCAGGAGACTTAGATGGGACAGTAAACTCGAGAGCTGCAGGGTCCTTGGATGCTGTCAAGTTGGCTTCCTGGTATTATAGGTGGAGATACTGGTCCCAAGAGTGAAAGGGACAGCCCAGGAGGCATTTTGGGTTTGCCTGTCAGGCCCCTGGGCTTTGGAGAAGGGGCACCTTGGTGAGGGGGATGCCTGCTGGGAAAAGCCACCTGGCCACTCCCTTCACCCCACTGGCTCACCCATGTGGTAGGGCTAGCCAAATTTTGCCCCTGTCTTCCTAGAGGCCTGTTGCCAGGGGCAGGGCTGCAGGTAAGGCCACTAGGCCCCTGCCCCCGCCTGCTGGGCCTGAGAAGGGCCTGGTGTGGGTTTGCAACAGTCAGGGTCAGGGCAGGCAGGTTACGTGTTGCCCTCTCCCACCCTAGTGGCCCCTCCTCGGGTAGACTCCTCCCAGCAGCGAGTGGAAGCCCGGGCAGAGGCCACCGTCGCAGGCAGAGGCCCCTCCTGATGCCGGCCCTGCTTGCCCCTCACACTGCCAGGTCTTCACGTGCTCCGTGTGTCAGGAGACCTTCCGCCGGAGGATGGAGCTGCGGGTGCACATGGTGTCCCACACAGGGGAGATGCCCTACAAGGTCAGGCTTGGCCTGTCAGGAGCCGTGGGCCAGGGGCAGCCCCAGGATCCCTCCCACTGAGCCCTTTACATGGGATGGTGTCAGGTGACTCCCCCTTGCCAGCTTCAAGGAGCCCAGCCTTCCCTGCCCGTCTAGTGCCCCCATACCTTTGGGCTGGGCCCTTGGGTCCTTTCTTTCCATGGAGGGCAGGCTCAGCATCCCTGNACTGGTCCTTTTTGGGCCCTTGGGTCCTTTCTTTCCATGGAGGGCAGGCTCAGCATCCCTGTGGGTAGAGCATAGGGGCCTTCCCAGTGCATCCTTCACTCAGATCAGGGAGCCTCCCAGCATATCTGGCTGGGCCCTGCCCTCTGGTCCCCCCATAGCCCAGGGGTGGCCGGAGTTGTGGGTGCAGGCTGTCTCAAGTGCCTGTGGGCCTGTTTTCCAGTGCTCCTCCTGCTCCCAGCAGTTCATGCAGAAGAAGGACTTGCAGAGCCACATGATCAAGCTGCATGGAGCCCCCAAGCCCCATGCTGTAAGTGCTGGGTGGTGCCAAGGGCTGGGGCCAGCACACACTGACACTGGGACTGTAGCCGCTCCAGAAGAGTGGTTTTGCATTTCTGCCATGTGAGGTGTCCTGGGGTGGGGTAGGGGGGTGAGGCTCCTAGGGCAGCCCTGCCCTGCCCTCACCCTCCTCCCTCTGTCCGGTCCCTTCTGCCCTGCAGTGTCCCACCTGTGCCAAGTGCTTCCTGTCCCGAACAGAACTGCAGCTGCACGAGGCTTTCAAGCACCGCGGAGAGAAGCTGTTTGTGTGTGAGGAGTGTGGGCACCGGGCCTCGAGTCGAAACGGCCTGCAGATGCACATCAAAGCCAAGCACAGGTGGGGGTTGGCCCGTCTTCCCCCAGGGCCTGGCCCTGTGCCTGCTCTAGGCCAGCAAGTGGGCCGGGAAGGCAGAGTTTGCTTACACATGGAACAGAGTGCCCTCCACCTGGAGTGTGGTGCCTGCAGGGGCATCGGTGGGATGAGCAAGTTTGCCAAGCATGGGGGTGAGGATCCAGGCTAAGACAAGGCTTTGTACCTCCCTGGGCAGATTTTGTTTCCTGAGGCTCCAAGCTGGAGTTGGTGCCCCTTTCCTGGTGCTGCCCAAGCCCTTCTTCTGCCAGGCAGCTCTTCAAAGCCTAGGCCCCTCCAGTGACTCAGGCAGGCTTGCTTCCGCCTTGGTTTCCTTGGCTTGGGTCAGGAGGGCTCCCAGTTGCAGCAGAATGAAGGCGGCCACTTCCCTTGGTGATGGTTTTGCCTGTGTCCCCGACCCGGACAGGAATGAGAGGCCATATGTCTGTGAGTTCTGCAGCCACGCCTTCACCCAGAAGGCCAATCTCAACATGCACCTGCGCACACACACTGGCGAGAAGCCTTTCCAGTGTCACCTCTGTGGCAAGACCTTCCGCACCCAAGGTGAGGCAGGCCTGTCCCCTCCTTGTCCCAGGGTCAAGGCCCAGAAATGGAACCCTTGTCTTGTCCCCACAGCCAGCCTGGACAAGCACAACCGCACCCACACTGGCGAGAGGCCCTTCAGCTGTGAGTTCTGTGAGCAGCGCTTCACAGAGAAGGGGCCCCTGCTGAGGCACGTGGCCAGCCGCCACCAGGAGGGCCGGCCCCACTTCTGCCAGATCTGTGGGAAGACCTTCAAAGGTACGTACCTGGGCTTTCAAAGGCCTTTACCCCTTGTCCTTCCCTGTAAGTCCTGGGCAGAAGAGAGGGCCCAGCCATCTCTATTTCTTGCCCACCAGAGCTGGAGGGTCTCTACTGGGAGACATCAGGTGCAGCTGTGGCTTTCACCTGCTCCTACATGGCAGGGAACCTTCTTGCCAGTGACTCTCTCCCATTCCCCATGGTTACCTGCTTTGACTCAAGCAGAGGGGGTGGAAGCTTCCAGGGTCCTGTGTGTCGTGACCTTGGGGTGGCACTGTAGTCTGGGTTTTCAAGCAGCAGTTGAAAACCCAGAAGTCTCTCAGCTCAGGGCAGGATCCTGCCACTTCCCCATTTCCCGCCCTTCCTAATGCCTCTCCTGCTGGGGGTCCCTTCCCTCCTGCAGCGGTGGAGCAGCTACGTGTGCATGTCAGGAGGCACAAGGGCGTGAGGAAGTTTGAGTGCACTGAGTGCGGCTACAAGTTCACCCGCCAGGTAGGCCTGGGGTCACCTCCTCCTGCCCCTCGGCCCCTCCCAGCCCAGCTCTGAGCCCCCCCTACCCCTAGGCCCACCTGCGGAGGCACATGGAAATCCATGACCGTGTGGAGAACTACAACCCACGGCAGCGAAAGCTCCGGAACCTGGTCATCGAGGACGAGAAGACTGTGGTTGTGGCGCTCCAGCCACCTGCTGAACTGGAGGTGGGCTCAGCTGAGGTCATTGTGGAGTCCCTGGCTCAGGGTGGCCTTGCCTCCCAGCTCCCTTCCCAGAGACTGTGTGCGGAGGAGAGCTTCACAAGCCCAGGCGTCATGGAGCCCTCACTCCTCATCACAGCTGCCATTCCTGAGGACTGTGACACGTAGCCCTCCACCCACCACAGCCCACTTAGCCCCAGCCCCCAATAAACCACATGACTTTGGACTCAGTTGTTTCAGCCCCTCCAGCGGTCTGTTCCCCAGGCTACTCCAGGGCTGTGCTGCTTTCCCACCATCCCCTAGAAGAAATGGTGCCCTGGCTGATACTCTGCACCTGAGCTCAGGCACCTTCCCACCTTGTCAGACCTTAGCAGAGTGACACCGGGCGGGTAGTTTTGGGGGCCAAGACTGTCACCCAGGACATTGACATCTGTCTCCCTGTCCTCATTTGGTCAGGGTTTTAGGACTGGGAGCAAGGACCAGGTCCAGCAGTAACATTCCTATTTCCCTGAGCTGCTAGAGTCAGCCAGAGTCCCCCTTGATGGCCTCACTGGTTCAAGACTCCTGCCCAGTTAGTGTGTGGCTGAGCACAATGGGGGACCTGGGGAGGGTTGGGCTCATGGCTAAGCAAGCTCTGGACCCCGGCTGGCTGCACAGAGAAGAAAGGGCCCGGGTTTAGTCAGCTTGTCCAAGAGGCCTGGGGTGCAGACAAGGCCAGGCCTAGAGTGTTGAGATGTTCCGTTTCTATGACATGGGGAACAGTGGGGTGGGGTGCTGTTTGCCATGGGTGCTGGAGGCAGGTTGCCTCCAAATTCCTTCCCAACTCATTTTAGCTCTATAGCCTGGGGCCAGTTACTAATCACTTCATTTCCTCATCTTTTAATGGAATTAGTAACAGTACACGCTTCATAGACAGGGTTAAAGGAGAGCCCACTGTTCCAGTTACCCACTGCTGGAGAGCAAACTCCCCAGACCTTCCCTGGGGAAGGGGCCTGCTCGCAACATAGCTCACTTCTGAGCATGGCAGCCGGGTGCCAACAGCAAAAACTCCAAGAGGCCAAACCTGCAGGCCTCTCTATGACCTAGCCCTGGAAGTCAGTGTCACTAATGCCATAGACCCCAAGCACTTGATGGAAGCTGTGTCAGAATCTCACAAACTTCTAGCTGCCCATGCAGAGGGAGGTGCTGCTTTTTTTGCACATGGTAGTGATGGTCATGACCCCAAGAGCCTGAGTCAGGCCATACTTAAGACCCGTTACTACTGGAGGGTTCCTGAAACACCAGCCCCATGCTACACGCTAACTTTCTCCTGGAGTTTGAGGAGGAACACCATCTTCCATTTCAAACCAGAACCCACCTAGCCATCTTTCCCTTGACCCCTGGGGAGCTCAGATGTAATGAGTTCAAGTGTGGTGACACACCCAGGTTATGAGCTGCTTTGGAGATGTTTGGCAAGAGTATTAAAAAGGCAAACTGGCCTCAAAATGCTTCCTTCCCAGCACAGGCACTGGCCTCTTTCCTGGGTTCAGAAGGGCCTGCTTTTCTGCAAATGTGAGGAGCATTTCTGAGCTTCACGGCCCCAGGAATCAATCTCCTTTCTGGTCTCCTTTAGTTGAAGGTGTTCAACACCCCCACTCAGGCCGGCAGTTCACCCACTGCAGAGACAGGATCAGGAGGGACTGCGGGGGAGAGGCAAGGGCTGGAGTGCCAACAGGTAGGGAGGCTGGAAGCAGCTTTGGAGCAAGTGAGGCCTGGACAAAACCACCTGTGTTCCACATCTCAGGCTTGGCCTCTTTCTTCCACTTCATGCCTTGTAATAATTAAAGATGAGAAAGGGCCTGAAAAACTTTGCCCCCAGGGCCATTAGCAGGAGCCCTGGGCATTCCACACACTGCCCTTCTGCAGCTGGCACAGGGACAGCCCCACACATTTGGCCTCAGCTCCAAGGTTTCACGACGCAGCTGCAGCAGGATAAAGGCAATGGCACCAAGTGTATAGGAAACATTTTTATTTCAAAAAGTACGTGTTGAAGGCATCCTAAAACCTTACATGACTCTGGACATGTAAGCCCATAAAAACAGACAAATACACAAACCTGCCCCACCCTCTGGGTGCTGGACGCCGGAGGGGGGGGTTTGAAGTCATAAATATAGAATATGTCGTAGATCAGCATTAAATACTATCATGAATTCTCATAACTTAATTTGTCTTGTAGACTGATAAAGGGGTGTGCAATCAACACACAGAGACAGCCCCATCCCTAGTTGGCCCAACCCCCTGTCCCCAAGTCAGTGTACGGACATCTCCAAGAGGTGGGGGCTTCACAGCCTAGAACCCGTGCCGGGGGAGCCAGGAGGCAGGGAGCAGACACTTCTGAAGGCTTGTCCCTGATCCTGGCCCCCCAGCTGGGGTCAGGAGGGACTATCTGTTCGCTGAGGCTGCTGCCTCCCCTTCCCATTCTTAGTCTTTTAAACCAAAGACAGTCTAGGGGGTAGAGACCTGGAGGACGCAACCTCTCCTTCACTGACCCCACCAAACCAACCATCTGGGCCGCCAGCAGACAGTGGTGTGGTCAGTCCCACGATGGCCAGTGCCAGTGAAGTACCAAGAGAAAGATCAGAAACCTGGTACACTGGGCCCCTAGTACACTGGGCCACATAGGAGCTTCTAAACGGAAGGCCAAAAAGGCTGGTTTTGCAAGGAAAAGCGTTTGCAACCCTGTCTCAACAATAAAGCTTTACATGACACCTTACAACCCAGGGAAAATCTCTGACCTTGACAGGGCCACAGCCACGCCTGCCTGGAGGAGGAGGAGGGGAGAGCTCAGTGACCACAGCACATGCCCACCATTCACAGAATGTCACACCTTCTTGGCTGCCGAAAGGCCCTCCCTCTGGAGACAGCCCTGAGGAAGGGTGCCAGGAGTCTGTGAGACTGTAGACCAAGGCCTCCATCCTTCCTCTGGGAGGCCCCCGGATGACCTGTCACAGCAGTTACATCTACCTGTGTGGCAAGTCCCCACACTAACCAAGCAGGGCATAGTCTTGCTGGCACTGAGCTCGGTGCCTGGTGTATAATCAGGGCTAAATCAATCCCGTGCAGCCAGCCCTGCCTGCTGTCCCGCTGCCACGAACAGGTCACAAGCCATCATGCCCGGGTAGTCTCTGCCTGCAAAGAAACCAAAGACAGCCACCCAGAACACACACAACCTGGGTGGGAAAGGCCTGCCAGACAGGCAGATGGGCCAGAAAAAGGCCACAGCAGGCCCTGGGAGGTGACGTGACGGATGTGGACAGGGAGCAGAGGGCTGAGACCACTCAGAGGGGGCAGATGAGACCCAACACACCCAGGGAGACCGCTCAGACTAGGAAGAGTGAAGGCAGAGACCCGGGGGAGGGTGCCCACAGAAGCAGAGGGCTGAGCACTGCCCCCTGCAAAGACCTGGGGCAGAAAGCAACAGCGCAGGGGGCTGACCCCTAAGGAGCCAGGAGCACGTCCCTGAGGCATCCGGGAGCCCAGGACCAGGCAGACCTCCACATGTCCCCCCACAGTGCCTGGTGCACAGTGGAGACAAGCCCGAGGGGATGGAAAGGGCTGGCTATGAGCTATAGCCACTCCAGCAGAGTGTCCAGGACACAATGTCTCACCCAAAACAACGACACCACACACAGGAGGGCCCAGCCGGAAGCCCTGAAGGCCACAAGGCTTCCTCCCCAAAACCACCGCCACCTGGCCAATGAAAGGGATTTAAGTGGCATTTAAAAGTGTGAAGCGACGTTACCACCACCTTCTGGTGAGAACACACCTCCATGTCAGTTCACTGGAAAAGGCCGCTCGGTGAAGAGTTACTTTCAATTTCACTAACGAGGAAAATGCGAACACCCCCTCTCCGAAGGAAGACAAATTCAAGCAAAGCTATGCTGGGGACCTTGAGGGGACAAGACCACCCAACTCATGAAAATGCTCACACTCCCAGAGAAAATGGGCCCCTGAGCTGTGGGGTTCCACCCCCTTGGAGCCCTGCCCCACCCCACCCTGCAGAAAGCTCTGCTGAGGCCCTGTAACAGATCGCGAATGACACTGAGCCCCCTTGTCAGGACTGCCTCCTTCTAAGGAAAGGCCAAACTGCATTTCAACCTTGCAGCCAACCACGAAGCCACACTGCCCGGGGCTTGCTTTAGAAGTAGCAGGACTCTTGACCACAGGCTGGTAGGGCAAGGGCGCCTGCAGCTGTCTGCCTGGCTGGACTTCAAAGACAAGCTCCCCGGGCCTCCCAGTAAGGAGCTGCGACCTTGCACCCGCAGGCTTTTACCCCTCCCTTGCATCGGGGACAAACCCAGAGAGGTCTCTGAGCTGGGGTGGAAGGTGGGGACAATGACATATGAGCTGGTGGGGGGGTAGACAGACACCAACCGTCCGCCTCAGCCCAGGTCCACCAGAGACAGCAAACACTCAGCAGGTCCCTCTGGGCCTCCTTCAAGGCCATACCAGTCCCACCACCCTGTGCCCCTGGGTCTGGGCTAACTGGCTGGAGGCCCGCCTGTGAGGGTTTTTTTGGTGTGTGCAGCCCCCTTCATCTGGGGAGACAGCCGGCTGGGATGTCCAGCACTGGATGTGGAGTTTGGGACCCCACTGCAGCCATCGTCTGCCTGATTCCCAATGCTCCGGGCAGCAGGGTCTGTGGAAAGGCAGACCTAGGCCACTCTCAGACTCTCATGGGAGGACCTGTCCCCCTCCACTCATACCTCAGGAGTGGGTGCAGCTGGTGGGAGCAAGTCAGTGGGAGGAGATGGGGCCTGCAGGAGGTGGTGACCTGTTGGAGCCAGAGACATGTGCCAGTAGGGAGGCAGCTCTTCCTGGACCAAGGGAGGGCCATTCACAACCGGCTTTGGCCCCAGCAGCTGTGACTCAGTTTCTAGATGCACAGGATGATCCAGGCGCCGGCTCCTGAGGCTGGCTCAGCATCCCAAGAGCACATGTTCCACCTGGTGAGCCCATCCTGTCCTCAGGCACGAAGGAGGGGGCTGCCACCCCGAGGTGCTGGGTTACCTGCATCGAGGCCCTCCCTGGGCCAGGCCGGGGCTAGTGCAGCTCATGGGGGTTCTGCGGCAGCCGGGGCTGGCCCACGTCCATGTCACTGGTACTACTGTCTAGCTCAAAGCCACGTCCACCTAAGGGCGTCTGGGGCATGAACTGGCGGAAGATGCTAACGCTGCCGTGCCAGAAGGTTGGTTCTGGGAGCCGTCCCACCACGCTCCACGCCCGCGTCTCAGGGTCGTAGGCCTCTACCACATCCGAGAGTTCAAACGTGTTGTCGTACCCTCCTGAGACGTAGAGCTTCCCTCCAAGGACGGCCAGGCTGCCTCCCACGTGCACCTGTGGGCCAAGGGGGACAAGTGAGTGGAGGCCAGCAGCCAAGGCACGGCAGAGCTCCCGCAGTCCCTCTCCATGGAGGCGGTGCCTAGGACCCTTACGAGGGGCAGCCTCGACACTTCTGAAAGTGATGCTGGGAATGGTCCTCTGCACACCTCCCAGGACAGGCCAATGCCCTTCCTATATCCCACCTAGGAAAACGGGCTCCACGCAGTCCCTGTAGTGGTCAGGGGGCTACAGAGGCACCAAGTCTCCCTGTGAGCAGCACTGGCCCCTAAAGCAGGTATACCTGATCTCCCCACCTTTCAGATGGGAAAACTGAACCTCTGTGACTGACAGTCGCAGAGCTGGGACTTGACCCAAAGACTGGGCTCTGAGCCCTAAGGCTAGACTATCCCATCTCTCTCACATTTGCTATAATGAGTATGTATAGCTCATTTTGGGGAAAAACATGAAGTTACATTTCTTAAGTGTAAAGATGTTAAGCTATGACGTTGTAACTTGCGACATTTGCCATGTGGAGATATCATGAGAGGTTTGGAAATTTTAAGGAAGACAGAAAAGGTGCAGGTGGATGTAGCTGTATCTGGGTCTGAGGAGATTTGACTGTGTGGCCAAATGCTGCCCCAGCTTCCTGGCTCCGTGCCACTATCAGGCTCAGCACCTCACTTCTCAAAGAGCAGAGAGAAGGTGAGAACCCAACCAGACAACACGAGCAGTGTAGGTGCCCTGACCAGAGCACACAGCAGGTACTCAATAAATATTACCAAGGTCGTCAGCACCCAAAGACCTCCTGTCTGACTTTGTCCCCTCTGTTGTCCGTTTGTTCGCTCTGCACCAGCCACACTGAACTGAGAGCTTGTTCTAGGAACATACCGGGCATGCCTTGCCCCAGGGCCTTTGCACGTGCTATCCCGGTGGAACACTCTTCCCCAGTATGCTCTCTGCTTCATGGCAGCCTGTGCTTCCAACGCAGGCAAACTTACTTGATTCATAGGCGGGATCTTGTCCCATTCATTCTTCGTGGGGTTATACACATCTACCTCGGCAGAGTCGTCTCTGTGGAGGGACGGAGGGAGAGAGTGGATCAGAGAGAGGAGGAAGTACCCCTGGGTGTGAAGGACTAGAGAGGAGGGATCTCCAAGCCCCTCACCTTTGGGGACTTCTTTGGTGCCCACTGGCTAGTGGGGCCTTAACCCCGATTTCAGGCTCCACACCTATCTCTGCCTGCATTCCAAGGCTAGGACCCAGCCTTGCTCCCTAAACCCAAAGGTCACACCCTCAGGGGCTTAAACCTTTCCCCACCACCCAGCACCAACACGCTGCCCCTCCCCTCGCTGCAGCCACCCCAGCTTCAGATCTTGAACTTATCAAGGTTCTTCCCATCTGTCTCCTACTCATCCTTCTGAGTTGGACTTATGCCACCGCTTCAGGACAGTCTTCTGTGGCCGACCAGGCGTTCCCCGCCCCATCACATACCCCCATGTGCCCTGGATTGGACCAATCCTCGCCTCCACCGTCAGCCCCCGATCTCATCCTGTTCACTGCTTCATCCTCAGCACCCAGCAGGGTAACCAAGGCTACAGGAAGGAAGACGCCTCTGCACGCTACCCTTCCCTTTGGGGTCAACCTGTCTGACATGCTCCTGACCCCTGCAATAAAAGGCTCCAAGGCACAGCCTTGAAAAGCAAAGATACTCCCCCTAGAATAGTAGAAGTAATGACTGCAGGCCAGACACAGCGGGAGGGCCAGACAGTAAATATTTTAGGCCCCGCACTAGCACGAAAAGCAACCACGGGCATCTGTAAACAAAGGGGCTGGCTGCATACCAATCAAGCCTCATTTATGCATCACAGAAATCCGAAATTTCACACAACTTTTCACATTATAAAACGGTACTCTTGCTTTGATTTTCCCCATCAAATTACTTCAAAATGTGAAAGCCAGTCTTGCCTGGCCAGGCATGGCTCAGTGGTTGAGCGTCGACCCAGGATCCAGGCAATTGGGGTTCGATTCCCGGTCAGGGCACATGCCCGGGTTGCGGGCTTGGTCCCCAGTCAGGGGCCTGCAGGAGGCAGCCGATCAGTGACTCTCATTTATGTTTCTCTCTCTCTCTCCCTCTCCTTTCCTCTCTATGAAATCAATAAAGATACATTTAAAAAAAAAAAATCCTTGTGTCCAATCCCTTATTAAAAAAAAAAAAAAAAAAAAGCCAGTCTTACTTTGTGGCCCATGTGATGATAATTAATACTGAAACCCAGTGGGCCGCCCCAAGCAGAGACAGACACGCTGCAGCCACATGGGAGCAGACTGGACAGTGTTGCCAGCCCCTTCCTCTGCAGGGCCCCCAGCCAAGGAGCCTCGTAAATGGGGAGCAAGGTGGACGTGGCTGGGGAAGGAGGGAGCAACCGGTCACCGCTCAGAGCCCAGGACAGGAGCAGTGATGGGATGGGGCCCCTACACAGCTCTGGCTGCCTCCCTGGGAAGACACCTTCCCAACAGGAGTTGCCACATAGGTAGTATTCTGAGCAGAGAGTTGTGTGGCTCATGAGGCACCAGAGGGCATGAACAGGGTGGCTCTGGGACAAACATCCAAGTGCATTAGCCCAGGCATTGCCTGCACTCAGGCAGGTCAAGGCTGGGCCTCCACTAGTCGCCTGAGGACAAACAGGCTTCCTTTCCCAACCACTCACTCTCAGACCACTCACTCTCGGCCAGGCTGGGGGAGGGGCAGCTGAGCCAGCCTTCCCTGGCCTCCCACAGCTTAGGTAAACCCTTACAAAGGCTAACAGTGGGTGAGGGGGAGCACCCTAATGCTTCCACGTGGGGGGGGTTCAGTACTTACAAGTTACTGACACCAAGAGGAGGAAAGCATAGGGGACTTAGGACTGGCCCTTGGACCCACCTTGCTCTAGGACTACAGGGTGGGAGGACATTCTCAAAGGCACTCAGCCTGGAGAGAAGGCCAAGGGGCTGGCACTCTGATAAGTTGTATTTATAGCTGTCTCCACCCACTTCTTTGAAGACATCTACCCCGAATGAGGGGAAGAAGAGCTGGGTGAAGGGTCAGGTGATGTTTATAACAGGACCAGGAACTGGCTGAGACTCCAGGGCTTTCTCAGAGCAGACCGCAGGTTCCTGGCATATAAAGTGATGCCTGGCCCCTTGGACATTAGCAAGCAATGCCACCTCTGTCTGAATGTGTTCACCAGAAAGCCTGGAAAGGAGCCTTGAGCTTGGGAAGGAGAGAGGAGTGGCAGCTCAGGTGGTTGGGGGTAGGGGAAGGCTTCTGAGGCTCCCAATTCAAAGCCCCAAACCAAAAGGGGACAGAGGGGAGCGCTGCTCGTACCTTCCCCTTTCCATCTGGTCCATAACTTCAGGAAGGCTCCAGGCCAGGGAGGGGAACAGCAGGTACACAACACACACAGAAGCTGTGCGCATCTGGCANTTCAAAGCCCCAAACCAAAAGGGGACAGGGGAGCGCTGCTCATACCTTCCCCTTTCCATCTGGTCCATAACTTCAGGAAGGCTCCAGGCCAGGGAGGGGAACAGCAGGTACACAACACACACAGAAGCTGTGCGCATCTGGCACGGGCTCCTGGCTCCCAGATGCCCACTGGCCCTTCAGGAGGCAGCATGTAGTCATTAAGACCTGCAGACGCACAGTGACCCAATGGCTGCCATGATGTGGTGACACCACACTGGGAACTGGGTTAGATGTCCACAGGTCAAACCTTGTACCACTACTTAAAGCTTGTGGTTGTAAGTCCCCCTACCCCTCTAGGCCTGTTTTGCCATCTGTGAAACGGGGACAACAGTGGTGCCCATCTCATCATGGAGATCAACCATGAAAATGCCCAGGAAGCAGGCAACACAGTGCTCGGCATGTGCTGTCTACTGTGGTCATTCCCACAGGCAGCTTCAGGGCCTGCTCAGTACCAGCTCCCTCCCTGGTCCAAAGTGGCTGTGGGATTCTTGGACAACAGTATTCATTAGACAGCAGTCTCGGACTCTCCCTGGCCGGGCTAGGCCAGGCAGGAAGGGATGGACAGAACTGGCAGAAACACACTGGACATGCACGTGCTGCTTTAAACAGAGGGGGTGGGGCCGATCCAGCCACCTGGCCTCTTGCCCCTGCCTGAGTGTAGTGGACACTGCCAGGTGAGCAAAGGATCCCTCTGTTAAGACCACACCTTCCCCAAAGACCTGAGTGTCCAAAAAGCTCTCCTCTGGTTTTTTTAACGTTCAGAATCCCTCTTAGATAGGACAGATCCTTTTTCTTTAAATCCTCACCTGAGGATATCTTTTCCTTTGCTTTTTGGAGAGCGTAGGAGGGGGAGAGAGAGAGAGAAACATGGATGTGAGAGAGACACATCGATTGGTTGCTTCCTACTCGTGCTGGGTGGGACTGAGTCTGTGACCGAGGTACATGCCCTTGGCTGGAATCAAACCTGGGACCCTTCAGTCCACGGGCTGACACTCTAACCACTTAGCCAAACCAGCCAGGCCAGAGAGGGTCCTTTTTCATAAAGGTCATCTGCAAACAGCCAGGGCCTTACGGTCCTCCAGGTGGAAGCCAGCTAAAGGGACTCATTTTATTTAGCATCTATCTAGGAAAGTTCTCTGAAAGGACGTAACTCCACCACACTCAGAATCCTTTGATTAAGAAAACCTAGAAGCCCACAGAAACTGCTGTAAAAAACAGAACAGAGGCTGCAGGTCAGAAAAATTCAGCCTTGGATCCCAGCCTGGCCTTGTCTGTGTGATGGGGAGAACACGGGTGATCGGCTTAGCACGGGGCTGGAAGATCATGCAAGGAGTGACCTCAGCCCCTGGAGACTCACTCACCTGATAAAATACATGAGTCCATTGAGAGTCACTGTCTTGGGGGCAAATGACCAGGGCGGGAGCTGGCCACAGTCCACCAGCGACCACAGGTCCGTGTCTGGGTCGTAGCACTGCATCACCATGGTCTCCTTGCCCGCCAGGGAGCCGATGGCATACAGCCGGCCGCGGCACGCCGTGGTGGAGCAGTTGTCCATGGGGTAGGTCATGGGCTGCAGGGCCTCCCAGGAGTCAGTGGCGTGGTCGTAGCGCTCCGTGCTGTCCGCGGCCACCACATACAGCAGCCCGTCCAGCACAGAGGAGCTGTGGTACTCCCGGGCCTTCAGCATGGGTGCCACCTCTGTCCACTCGTTCACACTCGAGTTGTACCTCCACACGCAGTCGTACAGCCTGGAGCCATCGGACCCACCTGCCGGGACACGCACAGCAGGCACGTCAGTCCTTGCTGGCTCCGGGTGAGTCACCCACCTACGCCTTCCTGAGCTTGCTAGAGGGCGTTTCCAGGGGAGGAATGAACCTCCCTGTGATTCGATGTAAACACAGGTCCTCCCTCACCAATGCCCAGGCCAGGGGCCCATGCTGGGGTTAAGGCAATACAGATGCTAACCACTGCCCACTGCCCATGAGGACAGCTGAGCTTCATGCCACAAAAACACCGTCAAATCTCTGCGGGCCAAGCAAAGGCCCTGGGGCCACAATTCTAAGTAAATGGCAACCTTGGCCTGGACCCCACATGCACATCAAACACCTCAACTGGACCAGGGCATCAGGTCTGAGAGTCAGTTCTCCCGGGGACCAAAGCACGTGAGTGGGATGCACAGAGACTTGTTCACCAAAGTCTAGGCTTCCTGGCCATCCCCTAACCAAGGCTGTGCCAGGAAAAGCTGAGGAAAAAATCTACTTCACACAGCAAGCAAGAGATCCAACACAGAACATAATGCCCTGAGAGGACTTCTGGGCTCTGTTTCCTGATATGGGCGCAAGTTACCGACGCATTTTGTCTGGAAAAACTCGTATGCACTTTCTAATACAATAACTAATAATACAAGAATAAACTGTTCTCCTGTATACTCTTCTGTCTATATTTCAAAAAAGAACTAAATAAGCAAAAATCAAAGCCCAATGGTGCTGACTGTAATCATGAATTAAACGAGTCTACCCGGGACTTTGATTTACCACAGCTTGAAGGAACCCCAGAACCCCAGGGGCTGCATTCCCTACCCCCCGACACTGGCGCCACAGGCAGAGCAGACATGACATTCTATCCGTCTCATGGCCCTGAGTTTTTTAAAAGGAGAAAACAAGTTGGGTAAAGTCCCATCTGCAGGCCTTCTTCCTTCTACAGGAGAACTGAGCCTAAGGCAGCTGAGGCTGCTTTCTCTCCCCTGTGAAATTCCCTACAGACAGCTGTTTGGAATGACCCAGCCACCTGTCTAAACCCAAAGGATTAGCTGCTCAGCTCAGACATTTATGGAAGGGTGTGCAAAGTTGGGGCCAGTCTGACCACTTTGGGGAGGGAGTTCCCTGGCCAGA